GGAGTTGCCCCCTGCTGATCAGTGTGCTCCCACAGAGGGAGTGCCACTCTGCCAGAAGCCCTGAGCAGGACTCACGGCTGGTGAGCACAGCAGTGGTGGCAGGAACCTCTTCTGCCTCTGCAGCAGTGCTAAGGATGTCTGACTGCCTACTCAGGGAGCGGGCCTAAGCCTGCAGTTAGACATCCCCTGAGGGCTCCTGGACTCACGAGGGCACAGGCTGGGCTGAGGGACCCCCACAAGTGCACAAATTTCATGTATCAGGCCTCTAGTAGGTTATAAATATATATGTATATATGTACTCAGACTTGTGGACAAGTCTGAGTACATTCTCAGTGTGTGAATAGACCTCACATTACCAATAAATGAGAGCTTAAGCAGGTCTTATAACTTTTTCCTTCAATTTAAGGCAGTGATTTTCAACAAGGAATAATTGTGGATTCTCAACGAGGTGGCCGTGGGCGCAGTGGGGCAGGCAGGACTTCCCTCCCTCCGCAGCCGGAGAGGTGGGGGTGGGGGATGGGAGGAAGCCCACCAGAAGTCTTGCAGGAATATTCTTGCAACTTTTATTAAGTTGGTTAATAAAAGTATATAGGTTTTAGGTATACATTTCTAAATACATCAAGTCAAGTCTCCTTCCACAACCATTTATATTCCCTTTACTCTCTTCTACCACCCCTCACCCCCTTTTCCTCTCAAAATCACCATATTGTTGCCTGTGTCTGTGAGTTTTTCTTCTTTGTTTAATCCCTTCAACTTTTTCACCCAGTCCACCTCTCCTCTGACAGCTCTCAGTCTGTTCTCTGTATCTATGAGTCTGTTTCTATTTTGCTACTTTATTTTGTTCAATAGATTCCACATATAAGTGAAAGTATATGGCATTTGTCTTTCTCTGACTAGTTTATTTCATTAGCATAATACTTTCCAGGTCTATCCATGCTATTGCAAAATGTTGATTTCCTTCTTTTTTATGGCTGAAGAGTATTCCACTGTGTAAATGTACCACTTTTTTTATCTACTCATCTACTGATGAGCACTCTGACTGCTTCTAAATCTTGGCTATCATAAATAATGCTGCAGGGAACATAGGAGTACATATATTCTTTGGAATTAGTGTTTTGAGTTTCTCAGATATATTCCCAAAAGTGGGATCACTGGGTCATAAGGCTATTTCATTTTTAATTTTTTTGAGATAACTCCATAATGTTTCCCACAGTGGCTGCACCAAATTGTAGGTCCATCAACATACACAAGGGTTCCCTTTTCTCCACATTTCTCACCAACATTTGTAGATCTGTTGACCACTGTGGTTTTAATTTGCATTTTCCCGATGATTAGTGTAATTGGGCATCTTTTCAGATGTCTATTGACCACCTGTATGTACTCTTTGGATAAGTATCTATTCATGTCCTTTGCCCTTTACAAAAAACCAAATTACATTGTTTTTTTAGTGTCGAGCTTTATAAATTCTTTATAAATTTTGGGTATTTACTGCTTATCAGAAACATAATTGGTGAATAGGTTGTTCCATTCATTGGTAGTCTTTTCATTCTGTTGATAGTTTCCTTTACTGTGCAAAACCTTTCTAGTTTGATGTAGTGCAATTTGTTTATTTATTTTTTTTGTTTTCCTTGCCCAAGGCAATATATCAAGGAAAATATTGCTATAAGAAATGTCTGACATTACTGTCAATGTTTTCTTCTAGAATTTTATGCTTTTGAAGTGTAACATTTATGTCTTTAATCTGTTTTGAGTTTATTCTTGTGCATGGTGTAAGAAGTTAGTTTAGTTTCAGGCAGACTTTTTAAAGCAGACAGTCTCCCTTAGGCACTTTTTTTGGTTCCTTGGAGACCCCATTAGAAACATTTGACCTCAAATCCTCTAATTTCAGGCAATTTCTTTTTTGCTAGTTTCAGCTCCTTCCTAAGTCTTTCTTTCTCTCTTTTCTTCTGAGTTCATTTTGATGGGATAGTATGACTCAAGTCTAGTTTCCTTACAATTAGAAGTTAGCAAAATGTTTTGCACCCAAGAACTACTTGAAAAAAAAAATACACCATATTTGATTGAAACCTTTTCATTTTAAATGTGTTACTGAGCTCCTGATAGTTATTATTTTCCTTTATCTTTCATTCTTTCACCAATCTATATCTATATGGCTAATATGCAAAGTGTCCCCTTGGGGATTGGGAGTTTGATTGCTCACTTTGATGTGCGCTGACCATTAGGGGGCAGTGTGGAATGAAGGAAGGCCCAGACTGGCAAGCATCAGCTGGGGAAGAAGGGCCCTGGTCCAAGCCAGAAAGCCCCGATTGGCCCTGATTGCTGGTCAGGCCTAGGGACCCTACCTGTGTATGAATTTTGTGCACCAGGCCTCTAGTACCAGATAAAAATTACTTGAGACTGGCCTCAGATCCACACTTGACTTTGAACAAGTTATTTATTTTCTTTACCTTAGCTTCTAAATCTCTAAAGTATGTAGAATTATTGTACATATTTCTAAAGGTCATTATGAGAATTGATTAAATAAATTTTGGCTGAACTTTGCTATATGCTCAATAATATTTAAGATATTAGGGACACATCTACTAAAGTAAATAAAATTTCCTGCCCACATGGGGCTTACATTGCAGTAGAATAAAGTTAAATCATGTTAGATGTTTACAAGAATACCAAGCACATAGTAAGGTCTTAGTACATTCTAAATATGTTATTATTTATCCACTTGAATGAGTGGCTTATTCTAAGGTATGATTTGGAAGTTTAAAAGGTTCTTTTTATAATACCTAATCAAGTACCCCAAATCCTCACATTATGTCAATAATTGTGTTAAGAGAGTGGAGGGCCCAATGAATATTGATATCTTATAGAGACAATAAATTCCTATGAAGCATCCTATATAATAAAGAAGTAATATGCAAATTAACCTCCTCACCCTCACAAGATGGCTGCCTAAGACCAACTGGCAGGGGGGTTAGTGAGGGATGGCAGGCAGGCAGGTGAGCGATTAGGAACCAGTGGTCCAGGATTGTGAGAAGGATATCCTAAACCAGCAATCAAACATCCCCTGAAGGGTCCTGGATTGGAGAGGGTGCAAGCTGGGCTGAGGGGACCCCACCTACACAAATTTCGTGCACCAGGCCTCTAGTTCATAATAAGATAACTTAAAAGTATTTAGATTCTATGCTTAATGAAGTTCAGATCTTAAGTGATATGTTCATCACTAGTGGCCCAGGGCACAAATTCATGCACATTGAAAGGAAATTAATTAGAAGAAATATTTTAATATCACCACTCGCCCTTTCTCTATAAAAGTGTCAACCAAATTAATGATCAACAATGACAGATTGAAACACATGCATGCAACTGACGCCAGTGAGAGCTTTATATGTATCATGCATGCATGAATCAACTTAGCCAGATGGATAGATAGATAGATAGATAGATAGATAGATAGATAGATAGATACACTTGCTTAATTAGACCTGTTTTCTGATTTACCTAAACTTTTTCTAGCCCAGTGAAGCACCCCAACTTCTCTTTCAAGTAATTGTCAGCAACACAGCAGTAAATATGAACAGGAAGCAGATTAAGTAGATCATTCAGGGAGAACAAATGGTAAATATTTAACTGCAACAGTGTTTGACTATGTTCTGTACAGTGAGAAAACCTGAAATCATTTTCAAAGTCCACCATATCTTCTTTTCAGCCTGGTCAAGTTTCTAAATCTCCATTTTCTGGCTAATGAAAAGAAAATAGTGATCCACCAAGTCTCCTATCTACCTACTCCAGAACTTCTGTGAGGATCAAATGAGATGAGGCATGGGAAAATGCTTCACCGACATTTGGTTAAAGTGTGAAATGTTTTCACCTAGCTATAAAGCAAGTAGTGTTCCTGAGCTGAAGGAACTGTAAGAAGGCTAGTCATCACTTGGGAAAGGAAGCCAGGTGTTGCTACTTGACATCATTACCCAGACAGAAAGAAGGACACTAGCATATTAGCCCTTTTTGTACATATAATAGATTGAATTCATAGCCTTTATCATGGAGCTTGATGATCAGTAGAAATTCAGCAAATATTTGTTCAGGAATTAATTTGATACTTACCTAATTTTGAGGATAGGATGCTGGCAGATAGGAGACTGCTAATGACATGGAAAATGTTTGAGGCAAATCTGTTTTTCAGAATTTCCCCTAGAACTGGTGGTAATTTGACATCAATAAGAAAAATAAGAAATAACTATTTCAGAAAAAGAAATCACTTTGGGTTAACACAAAAGAAGAATAGTGCCCTGAGCAATGCATTGTGGGTCATTTGGTTGGGCATTGTCCAGTGTACTGAAAGATTGGTTACTGGTTTGATTCCCAGTGAGGGCACATGCCTGAGTTGCAGGCTAGATCCCCAATAGGGGTCATGCAAGAAACAGCTAATAGATATTGCACTGTCACATCACATGTTTATCTCTCTCTCTCTCTCTCTCTCTCTCTCTCTCTCTCTCTCTCTCCCTTCTTCTGTCTCTAAAAATTAATACAAATATATATTAAAAAAAAAGATTGCCAGAATTATTAAGGGCAAGCAGGATCTTTGAAAATACCTTTATTACTTACAGGCAATATATAATTCTAATTAATGAAAATTAACAATTCTGAAGTGTTTCCCCCCCTTGTTTAGAAGAGTTTTTGCTTTGAACCTAATTTTGTATATAGATACAGAGAAGTAGAATTGCCCAGCAAAGGTTATTATGTTAACTATGAGGGAATAAAAGTGAAAATAAATTGTGACTGTATGGAGCTAACCACATTTTCATTGCATAACCCCGTTTCAGTGGAGCTAATATTTTCATATGGGCAAATTTTTGCTCATATGCCCTGTCTAAGCAGAAGGGCCTAAGCCATTAATTCAGGGAGTTGTTCCATAACTACTGTTTTCTATTCATATTAGCATAAAGTAATAATCATAAAGGAGAAATTTACTGAAAGCCTCTGCCTTTTTTTTCAATTTCCAGTGTTCAGACTGCATCATAGTGCTTCCGATACAAACGACAAAAACCGAGTTAAAAGCAGATTAAAGAAGTTTATTACCCGAAGACCTTCCCTGAAAACTCTGCAAGAAAAAGGACTTATTAAAGGTACAAGACATTTTATACTTTTACGATAACAGTGATAAATGAATGTGCCTCTGTGTCCATAGCTATTCAGCTCTAAAGAAATATTAGGATTTTTTATTCTTTTTAGGTTGCTTATTGGATGTTCTGCTCTATAGGAGAGAAAAAATAATTGTCCATAAAAATAATCCTGAGAAATTAAAGGGTGCATCATAGAATTATTGCAAGAAATACCTAGTTTTCCTCAGATCTGAGCTCTGTGCCAGGGAATAGAGAAGATATATCTTAGTGGCCCATTAGAATGATTCCATGTCTCCTTGGGTCTGGACAGTTCCAGTTTATACAAATCATCCCAACATGCTTAGGAATGCACTCCTTTCCACTCTTGGGCATGTCCTGATTTGGATAATAAAGTATCTGATCACCCTAGTCACGGTCTGAAGTAAATTCTAGGAAGAAGTCCTAGGAAGAAAGTCCAAGACAAATGAGTATCACAAAAATTTGGGGATTTGAGAACTGGAAGCTAAGAGTTCAAACTAAACTCCTCCCCCCTTTTTTTTCTTTTCTTTTTAAAGATGTTTTTAATATTTGTTTGTTTGTTTGTTTGTTTATCTTTATCTTTTGCTAAGATATTTTTCCATTGATTTTTTTTCCTTTTTTTATTGTTTAAAGTCCTACAAATAGTAATACATTTGTCTCCTTCCCCTCCCCCCCATTTGACCTTCCCCCAGCCTTCTCTAATCCCTGGCACATGCCTTTACCTTTCTACCAATGTCTTGCATCCATTGGTTATGTTTATATGCTTTTATACAAGTCCTTCAGTTAATCTCTTGCCTCCTCCCCCACCCCCAACCTGGCCAGCCTTCCTGCTGTCATTTGACAGTTTGTTCAATGCTTCTCTGCCTCTGTATCTATTTTTGTCCATCAGTTTATAATGTTTTTTATTATCCATAAATTAGTGAGATCATGTGGTATTTTTCTTGCACTGACTGGCTTATTTCACTTAGCATAATGTTCTCCAGTTCCATCCATGCTGTTGCAAATGGTAATAATTCCTTTTTTATATATATATAGCAGAGTAGTATTCCATTGTGTAGATGTACCACTGTTTTTTTATCCACTCATTTGCTGATGGGCACCTAGGCTGTTTACAAATCTTAGCTATAGTAGATTGTGCTGCTATGAACATAGGAGTGCACATATCCTTTCTGATTGGTGTTTCTAGTTTCTTGGGATATATTCCTAGAAATTGGATCACTGGGTCAAATGAGAGTTCCATTTTTAGTTTTTTGAAGAAACTCCGTACTGTTCTTCACAGTGGCTGTACCAGTCTGCATTCCCACAGTAGTGCACAAGGCTTCCTTTTTCTCTTCATTCTTGCCAGCACTTGTCATTTGTTGATTTGTTGATGATTGCCATTTTGACAGGTGTGAGATGGTACTGCATTGTCGTTTTGATTTGCATCTCTTGGATGATTAGTGACTTTGAGTATGTTTTCATATGTCTCTTGGTCTTCTTTCTGTCTTCTTTTGAAAGTATCTATTTAGGCCCATTGCCCACTTTTTGATTGGATTGTTTATCTACCTTTTGTTAAGTTGTATGAGTTCCCTGTAAATGTTGGAGATTAAACTCTTATCAGTGATAATATTGGCAAATATGTTCTCCCATGTAGGGGGCTTTCTTGTTGTGTTGATGATTTCTTTCGCTGTACTGAAGCTTTTTATTTTGATGTAGTCCCATTTGTTTATTTTCTCTTTAGTTTCCATTGCCCTAGGAGCAGTATCAGTGAAGAAATTGCTTCGGCATATGTCTGATATTTTGCTGCCTGTGGATTCCTCTAGTATTTTTATGGTTTTCCATCTTATGTTTAAGTCTACTATCCATTTTGAGTTTATTTTTGTGTATCATGTAAGTTGTTGGTCTAGTTTCATTTTTTTTTTTAAATTTTTTTGCATGTATCTGTCCAATTTTCCCAGTACTATTTATTGAAGAAACTGGACTCCATTGTATGTATATGCCTACTTTGTCAAATATTAATGTAGCATAGTGGTTTGGGTCAATTTCTGGGTTCTCTATTCTATTTCATTGATCTATATGTCTGCTTTTATGCCAGTACCAGGCTATTTTGAAAACAGTGGCTTTGTAATACAGCTCGATATCCAGTATTGAGATCCCACCTACTTTGTTCTTCTTTCTCAGGATTGCTGCAGCTATTCAGGGTTTTTCCACTGAATTTAAATAAGAAGGTACTTCTGCAAATATATCTAACGTAAATAATAAGATATATCCTAGCACAACCTAGCCACCAGAATAGAAAAATATAAACTCTGACATTACCCTAATTGGAATTCAGACCTTAGTTCTACCACTCATTTGTAATGACATTGGACAAATTAGGATCTCTCTGACCTCAATTATCTCATCTTTTATTTTTATTTTTTTAAAATATATTTTATTGATTTTTTACAGAGAGGAAGGGAAAGAGATAGAGAGCTAGAAATGTCGATGAGAGAGAAACATCGACCAGCTGCCTCTTGCACACCCCTGCAACCAATCTACATTCCCTTGACCGGAATCGAACCTGGGACCTCTCAGTCCGCAGACTGACGCTCTACTGTTGAGCCAAACTGGTTTCTGTAATTATTATATCTCATCTTTTAAATGGGAATACTTATACCCATAATTGACATAAGTATTGAGAGAAATAGATGAGAAAATTCATGTAAAGCACTTAACAGTTTCTGGAATATAAGTATTCAATTAATATTCTCTGCTATTAAAATTATTATTTATTACTTTTTTATTAGTTAGCATATCAGGTAGATGAAAGGATGAATGGATAGATCGAAACAGGGATATAGAAATCTGTAACTGGAAATTAACTTATAGATCACAAAGCAAAATTATGTAATTTTCCTGAACAAAGAAACATGCGCCAAGTCCATTATTCTCCCTGTTTTTCAGATGTTCTAACTGATGAATATATTTTAAAGTTAAATATGTTTTTAATTGAAAATGGGCTAAAATAAACTCAGAACAAAGCTGAAAGACTTATAGAAGTCAAGAGATGATTTAAAATATAAATTTTTCTCAGGAAGAGGGCAAAGCAGATTTTCAGATTTTTAGCAATACTTAATATAAGAATTATTTAAATATTTTACAATTAATTGTTTGACCAAACAATTTCAGTTCATCTTGAAACAAATGAACATATCACAAAAATAGCCTATCATTTTGAACTAACCCTAGAGGGTGGAATTTTTGTGAATCATGGACATAGGTATCACTAATAGAGCAGAAAATTCTTACAATGCAAGTATTTGGGGGTGAAAATAGCACATATTTTTAATCGGCTCATCTCAAACTTTTACTCTGAAAATTCCTTTTCATACTCACAGACAGTATTTGATCCTCTACATATTCAATTACATCCTATACAATAAAACCTTAATATGAAAATTGGCCAAACAGTTGAATGAGGTGCATAACAACCGGTCACCATGATGTGCACTGACCACCAGGGGGCAGACGCTCAATGCAACAGCTGCCCTCTGGTGGTCAGTGAGCTCCCACAGGAGAAGTGCTGCTCAGCTAGAAGCCAGGCTCACAGCTTGAGAGTGTAGTGGCAGTGGCAGGAGCCTCTCCTGCCCCCGCTGCAGGCAGATGGTAAGGAGCCAGGAGTCCTGGATTGCAAGAGGGATGTCCGATTGCCCAAGCCAGCAGGCAGACATCCCCCAAGGGGTCCCAGCCTGTGAGAGGGTGCAGGCCGGGCTGAGGGACTCTCCCTCCCCAGTGCATGAATTTCATTCACCAGGCCTTTGATATAATAATAGACTACTATCTTTATTTTACCTTAGAATTTATCCCATAGATTATAATTTTCTTTTTTTAAATGTATTTTTATTTATTATATTTCAGAATTGAATGGAAAGGGAGAGAGAGAAATAAATATCAATGATGAGAGAAAAACATTGATTGGCTGTCCCCTGTACAATCCCCACTGGGGATGGAGCCCCCAGCCCCGGCATGTGCCCTAACCTGGAATTGAACCATAACCTCTTGCTTCATAGGTTGATGCTCAACCACTTAGACATGCTGACTAGGCCCCACAGATTATCATTTTTTTTTTTTTTTTTTTTTTTTACATAGGATTCAGTTTCAGGTTATCTATCATCTTAAAAAAAAAAAAATCAAATAAAACCAGATTAGTAGCCCAAACAATCCCAATCTGACATAAAGTCTAAATTTTTCATGACTCTGGAAACATGAAAGGTCTTTTAATTCAGTGGCAGTGTGTGGCCCAATCAAAATGCTAAGGAGTGCTTTTGTGCTCTGGGATTGGTCTCGGAAAGCACCAGAGGAGTTGGAAGTCTAATGCAGCCTTCCTGCTGATGCAATGGAACCACTAAGCACACTCTGCCTTGCACATTTCCTGTCTTCCAGCCCCATTAAGTTTTCACCATTGCTGACCAATGAGTCAGTATTCATTAGTAGGGCTATGGAAAATCTTTGTGAAATTCTGATTTGATAAGCTGCCATTGTTGTCTCCAGTGGAATTTTCTTCCAAATACAGATCGTTATGCAAATATAGTCACTTCTTGGGATTGTTTCAGTTTTAACTGTGAAATTTTTAGAGGCTTTTACTGAGATTTATTTTTTTAAACTGAGTAAAAAGCATTAAACCATTTTTTTTAAAGCTACAGGCTCAGTATAATTTAATACTTTACTTTTATATTTTTAGCATACCTAAGGAAAATACTTTGAAAAGATTGCAGGGTTTTTGAAGGGCTATAAGAATTAAATAAAATAAATTAATAATTAATGGCTAAATGTTTAATTTCTCCAAATAAAATGACTTAACTCTTTCAAGGAAAATTATTTAGAAAAAGCAAAAATGGCTTTTTAAATTGTTGCGAGGTGCATTTGCCCAAAGATTATGTGTCAAACTCTTTAAACTGTCTTATTGTCCAGACCGGAATTCAGGCCTTCAATATCAAAGTTCAGGAAAGCTGTGTGTGGTAGTT